TACTTTATTTAGGTCTTTGATGTGTATATTATGGTCATAATCAATTTTATAGTCTACCCATGATGTAATTAATAACAGAAAAAATGTTCTAACTTATATATAATTATATAATTTATTCATTATTTAGTGTACATGGCATTATTCGATAGTGATGCAATGTTTTCCTAAAATGCAAAACGCACAATATTTTTTATCTGAAAATATATATTTGTAATTAATCACGATGATTGCCAATTATTTTGTGGAAGACCTTTGAATGGACAAGAGAATGTGGGTAGGGTCATGTGAGTTGTGATGTTACAAGTATTGTTGTTTTGGTAGGGACGGTTGTGAGCTGTGAACTTGTGATGCCACCCGATTTAACCTGTTGATTCGTTATGCTTTAAAAAGGAGAAAAAAACAAGTATAAAATGAATATTGTATATATGCAAATATTCATCAGTTAGTATGTCTTATGTTAGACTGACCTAATCAATAGGTCGACATACTCTATTCACAAATATGCATATTCTCATTACAAAACTTCATACTCCCAAAAATATTATAAATATAAGTATGACATTTGATAGCATGTAAATGTGTTTTTGTTCATGGAATTTGGCAGGTCGATCTATCGAACGATTAAGATGTCTCACATAAGAATTTATGTTCATCGATATTCTTGAATTTGCTCTCACAATGAAATATACTCAGAGCATGTTTGTTTATGAAATTTTCTAGTTTTGTTTGGATTTTTTGGTTTAATTTGATTAACTTTGAAAAGGTTGTATGGTTAGTGGATAATGGGTATATTAAAATAATATTTAAAATAAAATAATCAAAATTAAATTGACGTAAAAGTATGAGATATAAGATGTGATGTGATGGTTAGTTAAAATTATGTGAGTAGATGAATAGTGAATTAATGTTGATGTGGTATGTATGAAAACTTGATTGATATTATTTAATTATATTAATAATATTGATAATAGTGGTGTTGAGTTAAAGTTGAGTTAAAAAAAATGGTTGAGTTAAAATGTTGAAATTTTTTTAGAATTCTTATAAACAAACATGCTCTCAGTATATATTCAGTTGAAAATGTTTATACATTTTTTCTAATATATTAATATAATGAAAATTGATACTATACAAAAATTATAAACATAAAAAGAAATATTTATAATATAATATATATATATATATATTTAAATGTAAAAATATGACTGATTATTAAACTGCATGTTTTTTTTTTTTTTTTTT